CTATGTGTGAGTAAAGTTAAATGACAGGTTAGAAGAATGTCAGGAGCCTTCATGCTGTGCTTTTTTTTTATTGCTATCTAAATGTCTCATAAAATTGGACTCTCTGCTTAAAATTAAAAAAATAAAAAATTGTAAAAGTGGAAATGACAAACTTACTGTATCTAAAATGTCAGGTCTCTGTAGGAGGTGGTATCATTTTAAAACAAGCTATTTGTTGGCAGCTTTATAAGAACATTTAGTTTGATTTAGCTCTCCGTTAATATTGCCTTTTGACATTTTCACTATGTACTTTTCTCTCGTACTGCTCCAGTTACGCTTGATGCTGCCTTTTCATTACAATGTTTTGCCAGCATATTTTCAATGCGCAGGCTAAACAAATGTGGAGTCGCTAAATCAAACAAGTGGCTGCAGAATCCTACCTAACCAGTCCAACAGCTGCAGGATGACCTCCCCCCACCCCCCGCCTGTCACAGTCCATACATTGTAAAAGACTTAACAATAGCATATTTTAATTGTTCTGAGCTTTCGGTGTTCTGAATGAGAGGCAGGGACGCAATCAAAACAGGCGAAGTAATTACTGTTCTTGTTAAAGAGAACTAGCAGAGCTGCAAACTCCCAAGTTCTTATGGTCAGCTCACCAACACCTTTCTTAAGGATGTTGTATGGTGCCGTGTGTAAAATGTAAGAATTGCAAATGAACTTTTTTCACTTAACCAATTTTCTATGCAAGATGGTCGCACTGGATTTATAGTAATATAATTTACATTTTTCCAACTTAGTCTATTTTCTCAATTGTTTTATGACATGGCACAAAAAATGTAAAAGATCACTTCTTTTTAGTGTTTCCCAAATTCTTAGGAAACACTCCTGTATCACAAGCAGGCAGATAAAAACGTAAAACACTTTTCAGATTTCATGGTGCATATTGAGTGTTTAGGGTCTGCATGAATCCAAAAGCGGATAAAGATCATAAACTTGACTTTACCAGTAAAACTACTATAATCGAATATTAAAAGACTATATTTTTAGTTGTACAAAAAGCATCCGTTGAAAACAAAAGTATTTTTAACCTGAATACTTACTTTTTCCACAGTTTGTCTTGTAATTTGCTTTAAAATCTCCATGAATAAACATTATAATTGGGTTTGAGTTTGCCCTTTGCTATAGTTTAAGGTGGAAGAGCTCTACTTGTTGGTGGCACAGCAAATGTTGGAACAATGAGGTGGGAGATGCCAGAATGGAAAGTGATTGAGTAGCCACTGTGATCTTTTGTTGTTTTTCTGTTACAAACGTGCATGAAGGAAAGGGAAAACAATTATGATGAGACTAAAAGCAAACAGTGTTTCATTTTAGGTTCGGCCACACTGCTTCCTGTTATCCTCTCAGCCTTAATCTTTTAATCAACAGTTTCCTTCTACTCATTCATTTTCTGGAAGATTAAATAACCTCCCACCCCCTCACACACACGCACCCCTAGTTTCTCTTTTGTATGGTACTGTGGCTCACTTTACAGCAAGCTCCATCTCAGTGGAGGTTTCTTGTCTATTACAATAAGAAAATGAGATATGTTCAATACAATAAGACATGTTACTCGAAGGGAAGACGTCTTCTCCTGAAGGTTATTACACTTTCTAAACCCGTCATTTAAGAGCAGCCATCATTGCGTTTTCTTCTGTACAATTTTTTCCACAACTACTGCCATTTCATCACATGAAGTTTGATTTTTGTCCAAACTTGTAGAATTAAGCTGATTCTCATTACTTGAACATTAACTTCAGCTTTAATTGTAATGTCTTTTCTCTATTCTCTGTGCAGTGCTGTGGTTATATGACTGAGCTCACATTTCCTGTTTAGTCACTGAATCTTTCTTTGTTGCAAAGTGTATGTTTCTGAGTAAGTCATCTTGAGGTTTTTTTATTTCCAGGATATAAAATATTTTTCCACTGCTCTAGTTGCTACTTCATCGTGAGATATTTCAGGTTTGCAGATTATTATTACTTCTAACTAAGCAGTCACATTATTATAAGGTTGTAAGCATGTGTAGTGTAGCTGTCAAAATGTGACTTCCTGCACAGTAATAGAATTTAACTTACCTAAAAACAAATCTGTTTTAATAAGACAAATCAATGTGATGTTAAAATGTCCTCATCAAACTAGACATTTGACTAGTGTAAAATGGCATTAGATTGCATTGGTAATTGCATGGTTGTAATTATTTTGTGTGTCTGCAGTTTGGGGGCGTCCTATTGTAGTTGCATGTTTAAATTGTAGGGTAAAAAACTAAAATCTGTAAAGCCAAGCTTTTTGCTCTGAGGTCATTTGTAATTTCTTCCCAGTAGATGTATTTGTCATCTGAAGGCACATTAGTCATCAAGAGACCAAAGATCAGTTTTTAATGAGCAACAAATCTAAGGTTAACTAGCAATTTAAAAGAGGTTAGGCTTGGGTTTTGTTTTTCTTTTTTTTTTTTTTTTTTTTTACCTTGAGCTACTTCCTCTTTTATGTCCTAGTGTAGTTATGACGCAGCATGTTCCAGCATCTAGATGAGACCAATCGGTGTTGCCTGAAGCTCTGCATAACGGTTTCTATGAGAAGATTTATTTATCCTCCACTCCAAAGCTTGTATCCACACCAGTTTCTGGCACCGTTCTTAAGTTGATTAATTTGTCTGGTCTCTAAAATGCCTTCATGTTCTTTGTTCTTGTTTTAAGCTTCTTGAGTCTGGTGGAAATATTTTCCTTTTTGCTTAAGCACCCTGAGGAATTTGTGTACTAATGCATCTCTATGTGAAAGACAAAAATAGCTTCACTTTGGGGAAGGCATCTACATGTCAGAGAGTATCTAAAAGGCCCGCCTCTTTTCTTCCCCTCTAGGGCATAAAGACAATTCCCTGCAAAGAAGCACAACATTTGTCTCTTAATATACTTGAGGGAGGGATGGAGGTTAGAAGAAACATTTTAGAATATTTGGTACTTACTTTCATGGCCATAATAGATGATAAAAATATTTTTTAATTAGATGCAAAATTAGCAAAAACAAAAAAAATAAAGTAAAAACATGATTTTTGGACTGTTCTGAAGTTGTTTCTGTTTATTCATCCAATAACCTGCAGAGACCACGGTCTCTGTCCATGTAATTTAAAAACAAAACAGAAACTTTGACAAAAGCTGTGAAGAGACCATTTGATCTTTTTATCCTATTATTTCAATATATGCCAATTGTCTGATTTTATTTTTTTTGTTGTTGTTGTTGTGCTTTATCTGTGCCTACCTGTTCTGCTGCCATACAACAGTCAGTCAAACCCACAACAGTTCATTTCTTTGAATGGTTGAACTGTTCCTTTGGTGCTCCCACACTGTTGTGATCCTCTAACTCTTGTAAACAGTCAAGAAAACCTCAAGATTTAACTCTTTCCCAAAGAACTGGCACATGTCTGCTGCAGAAATATGAGCCATCATTGTGTCATGTTAGCATGGCTGTGGGGGCGTCATGGCTCTTTCATCCTTCCTGTTCTAGTGTGGTATTCAGTCTGCCCTTTCACTCTGGGATCCATTGAGATGTGATACTTTGGAAAATTGGCATTAAAGCAGAGCACTGCACGCTAACAAGTCAGTTTGGTACAGTTACACTCACACATTGAGGTTACTCCCAGCAACAGCCACTGTCTGACCTCGAGGGTTCAGTTGCGTAAGCACTTTGTCAGCTGTCAACACCGCTGGAACATTCTTGCTATGTGTGAAATTATTCTGGGTTTGTCGGCCATGTCTGACTGAGATCTTCCTGTTCTTCATCGTTTTATTGGGCGATAACTCTTCAGTTGCATAATATTGCTCAATAAAAAGCTCAGTACCGTGACTTTGGAACTTGGCATTTAAACGTAGTTATGATGGCTGAAAGAGTTGATTTGTGCATGCTCAAAGGAAAGTTTTAAAATGGCAATAGTGTTTTTTAGATATTTTTGTAATTGTTTTTCCAAGTCTGGACAAGGATGAGAGAAATAAACATTTTGTTGGGGAAACATTTTTGTTTTTCTCACATTTTAAAAAGAGTAGAAGTCTAAAAATATAGTTGTTTTCACCACTGTTTAGAATCGGTTGACATGGTGTGTATCTTTTAATTTGGAACATTATACCTCAATCAGTTTTTTGGTTTTCGACTTTGAAACTGAATGGGTCAAATTCAGACAGTTTCTTTACCTTTTAATCTTGAGGAAACCTAAAATAGAGGTTTCACCTCCAGATGGTGTTCACATTGTCTGTACTGTCACAGTGGATGCACCAGTAGTTGCTTGGCTGGTTACCATGACTTGTCGGATAGAAATGTCTGCATCATTCAAAAATCAGCCGATCAGACCTTTTCAAACATAAGAAGCAGCACAGAAAATTGCAATCAGTAACACAGTCACCATAGGTTTTTCAGGGAAAGGCAACTTGCCCCCTTTCAACACATGAACACGCAGGAGTTGAGATTTCATCATTAATTTTAATGAAGACTTTTACTCCTCTGCCATCAGCTGTGGTGGATGGCTGTATATTTTATCAGAACCTTCAGGGTGTCTGGTTGTTGTAAATCAAACCGACTGTGTGGCTTCTCTGCAACAATCTGCAGCATCACAGTGCAGATTCACACAGTTTATAGATTAGCTCAGGTTAAAGTTGACAGACAGGCTTAATGGCCCTGGATGCTCTCACCACTTGATCCTTTAAAGGCTCTGCAGTCGCAGCCAAGAACGACTGGACGGTTATAATGTGGCATGCATTTCTTCTGTTGTCTCTCTTGATCATGTCACTTTGTGAGACGAGTATGATGCAATAAAGCAGATAATTGAAGGCTGACTGCACGTGTTTCATTTTAAATTTTTAGCGTTTAACAATCGATATCATATCTATGTTTTTGTCACAACTGCTTTTGTTTGTATTTTTTTATAATGTAATTGGTGATGGCTCTTTTTATTTTTATTTTTTTGTAATAAATGATTGTATTTTATCATTTTGTTCCAGATGCCCCCTCCACAGACCAGCAGGAACTGTTCTGTCAGAAACTCCAGCAGTGTTGCACGCTTTTCGACTTCCTGGACTCTGTGGGGGACCTGAAGAGCAAGGAGGTGAAGAGGGCCGCGCTGAACGAATTGGTGGACTATCTTTCCACCAACAGAGGTGTGCTGGTTGAGAATGCATACCCAGAGATCACAAACATGGTGAGGATGGACATCTGTGTTTAAGCTGTTTTTTTTTTTTGTTTGTTTGTTTTTTTTTTTGTTTTTTTAAATTTAGGTGTTAAGTTGACAACTTAATAAATTACCTACTATTACATTACCAGTGTTGATTATTTAACAGGCTAGAATGCTGTTCTGTGGGTGTCGGTAACTCCCTCTGTGCTTGAGCAGGATTATAGAAGCAGAGGCTGATCTTGTGTCTAGACAGAGTATGTGGTCTCAGCTTTACAGCAGGGACATGTTAGCAGCCTTGGGCTAAAACCCTGAACCATACTGCTTCCATTCCCAGCACAAAGGCCACTTTGTCCACTGTGGATTAGTTTGAATCTCTTATCGTCTCACATCGCCTTTTTTCATCTCTCATGCACTGCCATGGATCATATCTGAAAAGTTTCTTAAAATAGGTTAGATATTTACATTTACCAGTAGATTGCTATTAGGTTTTCCATCCAGTATCAACTAACTTTATTAAAAATGGGACATTTCTAAGTCAGAAGTGATCAAGTGAGAATTTTAATTTAGTTTTTCCCGCAGATCGTCAATCATATGCACCATCAAAATCTGCTGCATGCAGCACAACGCTGTAAACATTTGGGTCTAGCCATTAGCATATTGATTGTGCAGGAGTCGTGTTACACAATGCAATGTTCGACAACTCTTCCAGAACCCTTTGAAGTACCTTTGACCGAGGCAGTGTAGGTACGTGTTGGTAACCGGTGCCCTGTGCGTTGCCTGATGTTCCTCCCACGGTGCAATAATGACTCATGTGTGCAGCATTTAGGAGACAACAGCCAGTGCTGCAGTGATTCACTCCACATCGGAGATTATAATGATGGATGCAGCTGAGTGTAGCCTCAGCTGAGTTAAGGAGTCTTTAGATTACTGAAGGATTGTAGGCAGTAATTCATGTCATGCTGTTGATTTGGGATTCTGTCATTATGCACTTTCAAAAGTTTTGTGTGGAAACCCTTTGGAGTACGTGATGGCGTACTCACAGCAAACACCAAACTAATAATGACCTCTTGATTAGATGTTGTTTTTTAAGTTCCTTATGCTGAAATCTTTTATTCCATAAATAAGAATAGTATTGATTTGATGACTAAAAATGCCAGTTAATATAAATCTTGTTGCAGAATTGAGTTAACACAAGATAAACCAGTGTGTTGTAGCTCTTTTAGATGAAGTGCTGCCTTTTCTCACCACCCTTTTAAAACAAACTCTGATACGAGTTTTTTTTTTTTTTTTAAATCCAAAAACTAGATCACAGAGATAATTGTGGGAGGCCGCTGCTGCTGATGATGAAAGCATTCAGTACCTCTTGAACTTATCACATTTTGTTTCACGACAGCCAAAAAGTTTTATGCATTTAATTAGGATGTTATGTGATAGACCAACTACCTCTCTGTCAAGAACTCCTAAAAACCGCTGTAAACGGCTTGATGGAGGAGCATTGTTGTGATGCTGAAGGCGGCATGTCGGAAAAACAGTTGGAGCTTCTTAAAGAGACGGTAACCCAATTCCAAGGAGTAAAATTACAAAGTCAAATTTCTTTTGTCATGTTTGATATATACAACACTTTTATAATAAAGGAACAGTTGTTTTATTGTGCACAAAGTGCCTGAAAAAACGCAGCACCCTGTCCCTTGAGATAAAATACATGGCAACCTTGTGACTTGAGAGGTTGCCATGGATGAACTCTATTTAACTATTAAGTGGAGTCTACCGGTGTGTAATTTGATCTCTGTACAAATACAGCAGTTCTGTGAAAGTCTCAGTGGTTTGTTGAAGACTGGGTGGTGGAAAAAAAAATAGCATCACGAAGACAGTAGATGGGGGAATAAAATAAGGCAGTGTTAGCCGCGGATTGCACCCTACTCAAGGGGATGTTGGGATGAAGCTTTGGAAGTTATCAAAACCAATGCACAAAACAAACTTAAAAAGCCAGACATTGAGAGCAGACAAGCAGACAACATGCTTTGGTAATTCTGGAGGAGATGCAGAGATGCACAACTCGGGTGAAATAATATGTTGTCAGGGTTGCTGTTAAACACATACTCTGTAAATGTGGCTTTCCTCCTTGACTTTAATGTCAAGGACACAACTGTAGTTGGAAGAAAGCCTTAAGGGAGAAGCATCATTTAGGGGTTGTTAAAATCCATGTAGAGGAGACCACACATCGTGGAAGAATAGGCAAACATGTCGGTCTCTAAACATGCAAAAGTGGTAGAAAGATTTAGAAAGACCATATAGTGAAAGGGGATTCTATAAAATACTGATTTTTCAAATATTGTAACAAAATGTGATAAGATTTAACACTTATTGAATGGATTGTATAAAATTATTACATTTTATTATGGTTTGTTTCATAATGATCTGATTTTCAACTTGTCAGATATAAGGCAACAAATATTCTGCAACCTGAAAGGCTGAATAAAGCTGATTAAGTAAAATCCATATTTATTCCAAATTGTCTGTACAGACGGGTACAGATTTTTATTTATTTATTTTATTTATTTATTTATTTATTTTTTGCAGTTGTAGTGTAAATGCACAACTCGACATGCTTACGGTCTTTGTTGGTGGTGTAATTCCTTTGTGCTGCGGATGAAAGAAAAACGTGAAACTGACTCAGAATCACGTACCTGTGATGCACTCTGCCTCTGAATGAGCTGCAACTAATGGCAGCCACCATGTCAGGAAGCTGGCTTGTTGATGGCTCTCATTGATGCTCTGTGCTTGGCCTCACATGACAATGAAGAGATAATTGCTTTAAGTGCTGCCCAATATTCTGCTGCGGAGAGAATCCTGAGGTTGTCAGGAGTGCAAACAGCAAGGTTTCTCATTCATGTCGAAGGCAGCTTTACTTATTTGCCAGCTCGACTGTATAATCAGGCATAAGACAGAATCCTTTTGTCATATTTTCTTCCTTTCTGCTGCAGGCGAGCTCGATACTTGCTCTCTGTTGTACCTTCCTCTCTTGGTTTCTTGCACGGCCAGTTGCTAGGTGTTGGTTGTTATCACCCATAGGCAGACAAAGCTTCATCGCCCCATCCTTGGTGAACCTACTCGAGTTTTATCCGCAGCTCTGACACTTAAGAACAGCCTGTTCTGAATCCTCCTACATAACTTTCACGCATAAATAACCGTTTCCTTTTTACCCTCTTGAAAATATCTCGCACGCCTCCCATGTTTGCCGTTCTCCCACACTGTTTTCTCTTGTTTTGTCCAACTGTAGTTATTTTTCAATATTGCAGAGGGGTGGGGAAGGGACTAATAAATGAAGCAGTGCTTTGTTAAAATATTCACACTCCTGGAACCTTCTCGCTGTTTTTCACCTTACATCCACAAGGTACATTTTCTATAATGGACTAACACAAAGTAGCATTTAATTCTAAAGTAGAGCAAAAGGGACACATAATTTTCAATTTAAAAACACAAATTTAAAAAGTGACATATGTATTAAGACTGCTTAAATCTATTTTATGATGAGTTGTGTAATAAAGGGACTGCACCTGTGTGCCTTTTAGAGGATGCTGAAAACGCACAAAGAAAGGTACTCTTATAACATCATGTCAACGTTAAACTTTTTACTTGTAGGTAACAAACTCTGCACATGACCTTAAACACACCATCAACTCTGTTGTGGTGGTGGCGGCATCATGCTGTGGGTGTTCCTTTCTTTGATGTTGTTCAGAGTTGATGGGGTTAAATAAAGGGAACTGGTGAAAGAAAAACCAGGGGCTACACATGGTATAGAGTCAGTTCTTTGCTTTGAAAATGGTTCACAACATGGTAAATCAATAGGAAAAAAAAATAGAGTGGGACATTTTTCTCATTTGGGGAGCCATATAACTTTACAAGTTTCTGAAAAAATGTATCCAGTTTGTCAAATAAATGCTGAAATTTCTATGATGCTCTTAAATTTAAATCCTACTTTTAAATGTAGTTTTGAAGTTAAATGATTGCCTGGATTGTGACTGCGCATGCAGCAAGAGGCTTGTTCATAGAAAACCGAGCTTACTGATATTATTTCATTGGGGATTCAGCACAAATGTTCAACCCATGAATATTCACACATTTTTCTATCGGCACCTTTACAGTGAATGGTATTTTTGATCAAAAGTAAAAGTAAATTTGTGACTTTCATGTCTTGTTTTCTTACTCATTTCCTAGATTTCTTTTACTTTTCCAACTAACTGACTAATTAATGAATGAATCATAATGACCGTTCTTGTTCATTACATTGTCTTAATTGGCACATTTAACGGTGTGGTGCACAGACAAAGGTAAACTTTAATGACTCCCAGACAATGTTTATTGAAACTTGTCGGTGACATCGCATCTGAACATTTATTCTGCCCCACAAAGGAGCCGTTAAAGTGATTTTATGTCGAGGATTTTAAGAATGAATGAGATGCTTGATGTTACCAGATGGGGTTTTCATTTACCCAGAAACAGCTGCTCTGCTCAGACTTTTCCAAAGTAAAGGGAAGCCAGGAACTAATGTAATAACATCTTGGTGTCTTTGCCATGAGGGAGCCAAGAGTCTAATACGTCCTTGAGAAGGGTGGACTACAGCTGAACGAAATTAAGCCTCCCACTATTCCTTTGAGATAATCAAACCTGGATTATCTGAATGTCAAAGTAATTTAGGCATTCTTCCTGAGTTTAGATTCTTCCAGCAGAGCAGTTTGTAATGTCACAATGCCCCCCCCCAAGTTCAATTAAAGCTGCAGCGAGTGAACAACAATCCAGTCTTTTTATTTCAGATTCTTGAATAATCCAGGTCATAAATGAGGTGCGTGTTGGGAGTGTGATATTGAAATCGGTCTGTGTTCATTGTCACGTTGCTAAGAAACCAGAGTGCTCACGAACAGATGTTGGACATGGCAGACCTTCCCTCTTCTATTCACACCGTTCCTTTAAGCCAGAACTAAAGGGTCGCTGTCGTGGGTCTGTGTTCTGAATAGCCATCGAAGGAG